TCACAGTACTGGAGTGAGAGCACCAGATTGTTGCCAGAATAGCTGTAGCAGAAGGGTGAGGAAGCCAGGGCTGTCCTGCCTATGACTTGGTACACAGCCCCAGCATCCCAACCTCACAACTGGGGGCATGATAAATACGTAAACTTTTTCATTTCCTGACTTTAAGTGTGAGTTCTTAACATTGCATTAACATTGTTTCCTTCATTGAACAGATTTAAAATCAAATTTGTTCTCTTTAAATATACTACATTTCTTCTTTACAATTGGATTCACAACTAAAGACACATTTCTGCTGAATTGTTATGGGAGTCAAAAAGGGAAAGAATTATTTTTCTGAACAGCTTACTATTTTAGGTAATATATTACCAGAAAAAGCAACAGATTGGGCATGCAATATATTTAAATGAAAACTGAAAAAGAAGTTGCATAAGTTAGTTTTGTTGCTTAAGGATAACATTAACTTCCTCTAACAGTTTACATGCCTGTTTATGCTGCTATTGACTAACACAACAGAGTTTATTGGCAACTGCTCTGCATTACGATGCGTTTATACAGCACCAGTACTGTATGTTACTCCAGAGCTCCTTCTTGAGTGAAAAATTACACCAACAAAGCCAAAGAGCTTTAACTAACACTTCTCCAATTTTTAAATATATATATCTAACTATTTTTTTTAAAAGGACACTGAATAGGTGTTTTTCTCAACGTTTTATTCTTATACCACTTCCCTCCTTCCCCCTCTGCCAAGAAATCTGAAACCGAAAACAATTTCTTACCAATATTTGTTTTCTTCGATCATGTGCTCATAGTAGTTTAATTATTGTAGGATTCCTCATAACTCTTGTGCTGGTGGCACTGTTTTCTTGGGGGGGGGGGGGGGAAGAGAAAAACAAAACACTCCCCCTACTTTTGGAGGGCAAAGTTGGGGAATTTTGCATCTCCAACATTTTCCAGATAAAGTTACTCTTAACAGGATCTTTTGTTTCTTTCAATGATTTGCAACAGTCATTTTGTTGTAGCTAGTAAGTTTGATATTAATTCTGTTTCAACTGATATTGTTGATATTTCAGAAGATAGCCCAATATTCTATGATTCTATGATTAGGACCAATGGATCAATTGATAAATTGGTAATGTCTTTCAGTGTTTATTTGTTTTAAAAGTTTCCATTTTAGGACAGGGCTTCCAAATATTAAGGTAACCTCTCATGGCCATGTTGTTTAATATTTATCTTTCTACAGGAGAATAAATTATTATTTAAGAATAAATCTCTTAAAAAGAAAAGAAAAATACCAAAGAGCAACAATTAGGAGAAGCAAGAGTAAGCAAATTCTTGTGGGTATAACCCTGTTTGATGGGACATTTGTCACCTTTGATAGGGCTCTTAATAAGTTCTGGGTCAGTTCTAACTGAGTAGTTTTATTAAAGGCTTTTCACATTCACGCTGTATAGCCCTGTTCTGCAAGTCTGGATAAAACTGCATTCAGGCAATTTGAAGAATATCCTGAAGCCCAATATTCAGATCAGTGTTTCAAATTAAGAAAGTTCCAAGACTATAGAGAGGTCTTGAGAAGGAATAACGGTCATGCTCCTCATTTTATAGTAGTTTCAGCTACCTCCTAGACTTGCGCTTCATTTTACTTCATATCCTTATTTTTTACATTAGCCATATGTCTGTTCCTGAAACAAACTGAGCTGAGAGTGCTTCAACTTTATCAAGCCATTCTGAATTAGACCGAAAATTAAACTTGTTTGGTGGAGGAAATCAGCGTTTCCACATGGTGGCTTTCGAGCATGGAAGGAGAAACTAAAGCTAAATGAATAGATATTAAACAAGAAATATCTTGGGAAACTTTATGTACATGTGACAAATTTAGCCAACAAAGTACTAAATTCTTGGACAGCAAGTTTAACATATTAATTGGTGAGCAAGTAAGACAAGATATTTCTGCTCCTCCCAACTCCACTGTGATACAAGTTAAATTACAGCAATGAGTAATTTCAATGAAAAATAGGCCAACATTTTTCCCACAGTGGTACTGTACTTTGATATTTACTTTTGTGGAAATGCACAGGAGTCAGATCTGTTTAAACGTAGTTGTATTGCCTGCTGCTAGGTATTTGCATCAGATACATGCCATAACAGTAATAATTAGAGTATCCACAAGCAGCTGAGATCTTCAAATCAAAGGGGTGATGCCACACTGCATCAATTGTATATGGTAGTTAGGTTATTGAAAAAGGATAAAAGTTAGAGAACACATCTTAACACTACAAAAACACTAATTATTATTGGTATCAAGTTTAAAACCGAGCTGTCAGATAATTAGTTCTCTCTGAAACAGGTGACTAAACTTTCTGCAAATTTCACACTCAAAAAGACATCAGGTGTCTCTGCATAGTGAGATGTGTCAATGGCATTCAGTTGTCAGTGTGGATATTATTAGACTCAAACTGACATTTCAGAGGCTTCCTAAGTGATCCATTTTTCTTTTGATCTAAAGCTGTAGAAATTGGGTTCAAAAAGAGCAACAGCTCCAAACCTGAGCCTCATTTTAAGTGGCAAAGGCAGCATCTGTGCACTTTTGCCTAATGTAGTGATTTCTCTTGCATCCATTTCACTCTGATGTCCTTTGCAGTCAAGTCAAGGCTCAGAGTGCACCATAGTCATACATACCTATATCCTGCATCTAATACTTACTTTGGTGAAATATGGGTAAATAACAGAGTTGAGTGAATAGTAAAAGAAAAAAACATGAATATTCATTCAAATTTAAAAATTAATGTTTTTGATTGTGTGTGACTCCCCCGCCCCCTTTGTGGTTATGTTTGGTGAAAAGCTGAGCTTTGTTAGCATGAATACAAATAAAAGTGCATTCAAACTCAAATAATTTAAGGACATCCAAACAAGGAATATTTTAGCATTGTTTCAAAAACCATGTAAACCTATACAAACAAGCCAACACATTTGCTGAACACTTCAGCTACTGAAGATGCCCAGTTAGTTGTTCATGAGCCATTCATAAGAGACATCACAAATATTTTAAACAAAAGAATTTGATATTTCTGTGAACTGCTCACAAATATTTTGCCAACACCAAAACATCTCAACTTTCAAGGGTAAATTATTCAGCTACACTTTTTCATTCAGTTGTACTAAACAAGTCTGTGAAATGTCATATACGACTAATACAATATCCCCTTGTAATATAATTAACATCTCCAAAGACATTGTTAGGATAAACTCATTTTCTTTCCGTTATTAAGTTAGATTAAAATTTCATCATCACCCCTTTCTAACTCTGCTGGAGACATTAGGATCTTTAGTTGTTCTGTGAAATGGAAGTAAGCGTTTCCTTCTTTCGACCCTATCTAGAGGTGAATTTGGCATTGTTACTGTGAGGATTTGGGAAGTCTGTCAATGTCAAATGTATGAATTATGTTTGATATTATGAACTCTCTGTGTGTTTATGCCCATAAGGCTGTCTTTTGCTGTATACTTTCATCATACCTTTTGTGCTAAGAAGAGGGAGAATGGCACTTTGTTGCCTGCACCTATAAGGGCTGGCCATTAAGGACCAACAACAATTGAATAACCTGGTCCTAAAACAACTGGATGGTTACAACCTAGATAAAACCAGTTTTCTCCAGCTTATCTGCAGAGAATGGAAAATGAAAAACAAAAACAGGAGACAGATCACAGAAACCAGGTGTTAGGCTGGCTTTTAAAAACACAGAGGTTTGCTTTTTGAGCTAGAGAGAACTGTCTGACTTCCAGACCAACAGAAGCTGAACGGAGTTTGCTGCATGAGTCAGAGAGTACAATCCATGACCAAGACGAGAAGTCTGAGTCCCAAGGAGTGAGGACCAGGGACTCCTGAAAGTGACAGATGAAAACCCCAGGGGCTCTCAGACTGGTGAGGACACTGAAGGGAGGGATTTGAGAACAGGTTTTGTTGTTTTTTGCATGGATCTGTATATCTCTATGCTTTCTGCATGTTTGATTAAGAAGTTACTTTGCACAGCCTCTAAGTGCCTGGCTTCAACTGACTTGTGCCTCTGAATGGGTTAAATGGTCAACCAGACTCCTTCTGTGAGTGGAGCTTGGGAAAGGGTGTGTTTAAGCTGTTGACGAGACTTGGGGGTTCAGTAATGGTCTTGGGGCCTAGGACAGCTGGACTGTGGGGTACCACTTCGGAGAAGGTGTTATCATCAGGGAATCTGTATGCCAGCAATGAGCCTAAAGACCAGAGACAGTGTTTGGAGCCTGCCTAGACCCAGGGGAGATGAAAAGCACATGAATCCAGTGTTTGTCCAACAGGGGAGAGATTGTCATGGTGAGTGACAGTTACAAAGGAGCCTCTTGTTCTAAATCAAATACACTGTTGTAAGTTGGCCCTAAGTACACCTTGACATGTCAGCTTTGCCTCCCCACTTTCTGATGTCATCAACCTCCAGTGCCACTTGTTTAATTAAGCAACATGACACAACAAGCAATGCCTTTCTGGGTGATTACCTCACACCACAGGTTGCCCTCACAGACACTAAACTGAGGACCTTTAATTTCTGAAGAACAGCAGTGATTTCAAAGAACTGCATGTTGCTCAGAGGGCTCTGCTGCTATTGTAGAATGCACAGTAGGGAAAAGTATGGAAAGGGAAAATGTTAAAAGCCATACAGTTCTTGAGGAGCATCAGTGTGAATAAAAAAGGCAGCAGTGACAGCTAACCAGAAAGCACCACTTCTCTCTAGCATGCCAAACCCATAACAAACCCCAGCTAATAAAGATGCAAACCAGCTACAACACTGACAGAGCATTTCAACACAAAATGGTCAAAAATATTTGCTTTGAACTTTGTCGTTTTTGTCTTTAAAACGTACCAGTTCGCAACCAAAATAGTATTTTCCCATCTTAATTTTGCATTAAACTTTAATCAGTGGCTTTAAAATTAGCCCACTTGTGACTTATTAACATTAATATGCCTAGAGAGCATCACTTACTGGACTCCGGGTCCGAATTGCCATCTCCTTCTGTCCGACTGTTGGGCGAAGCCTGTTCATAGTACTCCTCTTGGGGGAAACCAAGGGGCAGAGGATGCGATGTGCTTGCACTGCTGCTGGGTTCATGGTCTCCAAGCCCACTGTCACTGCAGCTTTCCTGGGAGCCGTCTGGGAGGTGAAATGTGACACGGCGTTGCGACTGCAAGGAAAGAAAGAAAATTATATGGTTTCAACTACAAACTGAGTAATTGCTTAATGCATCCAATGTAGGAAATATATTATTTCAGCTATCTGGTGAGGACACATTAACATTATCTACAGTTGTGCACAATTTCAGGCTTTTGTGAACAGGCATCTCTGCTTTCAAACCTGCTTCATCTGACAGCAGAGCTTTTCCTATTTTTTAAAACTGTAAACCTTGATGCAGAATGAAGGACGCCTCATGCTAAAGAGATTCTGTCAACCTTCACAGGCCTTTGAAGCCTTCCATAAATCGACTTGGAGATTTCAATCACCATTTGAGTCTGAATTTATTTCTCTGCTCATTTCTCTGGTTTTCAAAAGATATTCTTTTCATTATAAGCTACTCCCCTACTTTAAGGCCAGAGAATGTGAAACATTTCTAACTGATAAAAAGAAAAGGAGTACTTGTGGCACCTTAGAGACTAACAAATTTATTTGAGCATAAGTAGTGGATGCACCATATGAAGTGAGCTGTAGCTCACGAAAGCTTATGCTCAAATAAATTGGTTAGTCTCTAAGGTGCCACAAGTACTCCTTTTCTTTTTGCGGATACAGACTAACACGGCTGCTACTCTGAAACATTTCTAACTGATGTGGTTGACTCTTTCAGAATCACAGTAATAACATAACAATAAATGTTACAATGAAAATAAATCTTTAAAAAAATCTATCTAAACAAATGAACTAAAAGTAGTCCTCAGACCTTCCCCTCCAAAAATTGTAGGGACATAAGCTTTTGTTTGGATTTCATCCATAATTCAAAGAGCTTTGGGGCCAGTTTTTTAAAGGTATTTAGGTGCCTAATTAGATTTTTCAAAAGCATTTAGGTACCTAACACTTAGGTGCCAGCTGCCTACCTAGGGCTTTTCAAAAATTCCAGTAGGTGCCTAAATACCTTTTAAAAATCTGGCCATTTATCTTCATACTAAGGTTGATATTTGGAAGGTGAAGTGGGTAAGGAAGCAAAACAGTCATAGCAAGATGACTGGTTTGAGGCAAAGAATTTCATATAATCATAGACTTTAAGGTCAGAAGGGACCATTATGATGGTCTAGTCTGACCTCCTGCACAATGCAGGCCACAGAATCTCACCCACCCACTCCTGTAACAAACCCCTAACCTATGTCTGAGCTACTGAAGTCCTCAAATCACGGTTTAAAGACTTCAAGGCGCAGAGAATCCTCCAGCAAGTGACCCATGCCCCAAGCTGCAGAAGAAGGAGAAAAATCCCCAGGGCCTCTGCCAATCTGCCCTGGAGGAAAATTCCTTCCCAACCCCAAATATGGTGATCAGCTAAACCCTGAGCATGTGGGCAAGACTCACCAGCCAGACACCCAGGAAAGAATTCTCTGTAGTAACTCACATCCCACCCTATCTAACATCCCATCATAGGCCATTGGGCATATCTATCACTAATAGTTGAAGATCAATTAACTGATAATTAGGCTATCCCATCATATCATCCCTTCAATAAACTTATCAAGCTTAGTTTTGAAGCCGGATATGTCTTTTGCCCCCACTGCTTCCCTTGGAAGGGTGTTCCAGAATGTCACTCCTCTGATGGTTAGAAACCTTTGTCTAATTTTGAGTCTAAACTTCCTACTGGCCAATTTACATCCATTTGTTCTTGCGTCCACATTGGTTCTGAGCTTAAATAATTCTTCTCCCTCCGTGGTATTTATCCCTCTGATATATTTATAGATAGCAATCATATCTCCTCTCGGCCTTCTTTTGGTTAGGCTAAACAAGCCAAGCTCTTTGAGTCTCCTTTCATAAGACAGATTTTCCATTCCTCGGACCATCCTAGTAGCCCTTCTCTGTACCTGTTCCAGTTTGAATTCATCTTTCTTAAACACAGGAGACCAGAACTGCACACAGTATTCCAGATGAGGTCTTACCAGTGCCTTGTATAATGGTACTAATACCTCCTTATCTCTACAGGAAATACCTCACCTGATGGTCTCACCCAAGACCTCATTAACTTTTTTCATGGCCATATCACATTAGCAGCTCATAGTCATCCTGTGATCAACCAATACTCCGAGGTTCTTTTCCTCCTCTGTTACTTCCAAGTGATGCATCCCCAGTTTATAACAAAAATTCTTGTTATTAATCACTAAATGCATGACCTTGCACTTCTCACTATTAAATTTCATCCTATTACTATTACTCCAGTTTACAAGGTCCACTTGGTTTGTGCTCCTTCTCCTCATCCTTCTTTACATACCTTTACCCCGGAGCGTAACACTCTGAAGTCTAAAAATCCTTACATTTTAAAGTTACACGGAAGTTATTACAAACACCTTCAACATCACTTTCTTATGACATTAAGTACTGAACACCACGATGGATGTAAACATACATGTTTTAATAAAATTACTATAAGCTTCCAAGTAGAATGTAATGGACAACACAGAAATAAAAATGTGACTGTAAAGAAATTAAGTTTTCTTAGCAAACAGTGCTCACTACATCAGTTTTACACCCATATCACATCTTTGTTCAACAACATTCAGATTTTTCCCCAAAAGAAGCATAATACTATGCTTAATACTATGCATAATACTATGGTTTGGATCATCTTCCTTACAGAAAAAAAAAATGATGAGGATCCCATTGCAGAGGTCTTGCACTCGAGACAGTGGGGTCTCGCCCCAGCAGAAAAGGCCTCAGGGCCCATGCTAAAATTTCACAGATTATGGAGGATCCACAAGAGGCCAGACCTATCTATATAGATCCTCTATGCCTCTGTTCTGGTATTGGCACTTAGTGCACCCGTCCAAAAGCTACCTGGGACTCAACCTGCCTGTAGCTGTCCAAAGAAACTCCTGGAAAGAGACGCTGTGGAATGTTTTGCATGAATGGATGGGGAACAATGTGTACTTTCACCCGCAACTACCACACTCCTGCCCAGTCTCTGATCCTTTCCCCAGCACAAACTCACAGAGACCCAAAAAGTGCCCCCCACAAGGCCCAGAGGAAGGGATCGTTCCACAGAGATGACTGATGTCTTCTGGCCCAGTTGACACAATGCTTAAAATATCCATGGCTTCTTGAAATCTAATCTATACTAGTGCTCTCACCGTTGTTACTGCTGGTGAAGCTGAATAATAGGAGCAACGGTGAGGAATTTACAGCCAAAAAAAAAAAATCTAACTGCCTTATGCCCTGTGATAATCAAAAATGTGTGCACATTTATGCATGTAATCTGCATATATAAAATATAGTAACTGCACAGAACAATTAGACATGCAACCGCATGCGTAAATATGTAAAAATAAGGCCCTTACAGGATATTAATAAGAAAAAGAATAGTAAACTAATTAAGATACATTTATAGTGACTATGACTCATCATATTCCAGTGCATAAACTATTTGCCAGACACAACTTTTGCAGACACAAAAGAAACTACCCCTTTGAATATTACTGTAGAACTAGGTATATTCAGTTTTCCACTGAATTGTCGAAGATGAGAGGAATGAAAACAAATGGAGCCTGTCAAAGTAACTTGATATATTTTTTGATGAGATTACAAGTTTGGTTGATAAAGGCAATAATGCTGATGTAATATACTTAGACTTCTATAAGGTGTTTGACTTGGTACCATATGACATTTTGATTAAAAAGCTAGAATGATATAAAATTTACGTGGCACACATTAAACGGATAGGTCTCAAAATGTAATTGTATATAGGGATTCATCATCGACCGGATGTGTTTCCAGTCGGGTCCTGCAGTGATCTGTTCTTGCCCCTACACTGCTTAATATTTTTCTCAATTACTTCAAATAAAATATAAAATCATTACTGATTAAGTTTGCAGATGACACAATAAATCTGGGACTAGTATATAATGAAGAGGACAGGTCACTGATTCACAGCACTCTGGATTGCTTGGTAAGTTGGGTGCAAGTAAACAGTGTTGTTTTAATATGGCTAAATGTAAATATACATATCTAGGCACAAAGAATGTAGGCCATACTTACAGGATGGGGGGACTCTATACTGGGAAGCAGTGACACTGAAAAAGATTCTGGGTGGGGAGGTTAATCAGCTGAACATGAGTTCCTAGTGTGATGCTGCTGCCAAAAAAACTAATGCAATCCTGGGATGCATAAACAGGGGAATCTCAAGTAGGAGTAGAGATGTTATTTTACATCCATATTTGGTCCTGGTGTGACTGTTGCTGGAATACTGTGGCCAGTCCTCGTGCCCACAGTTCAAGACAGATGTTGATAAATTGAGGCGGGTTCAGAGAAGAGTCATGAGAATAATTAAAGGAGTGGAAACATGCCTTACAGTGATATACTCAAATAACTCAATCTATTTAGCTTAACAAAGAGAAGGTTAATAAGGGGTGACATCATTACAGTTTATACGTATCCACATGGGGAACAAATATTTAATAATGGGCTTTTCCATCTAGCAGAGAAAGGTATAACACGATCCAACGGCTGGAAAGTAAAGCTAGACAACTTCAGAGTAGAAATGAGTAATTTTTTAATGGTGAGAGTAATTAACCATTGGAACAATTTACTAAGTGTCATGGTGGACTCTCCATCACTGACATTTTAAAATCAAGATTAGAGGTTTTTTCTGAAAGAGCTAATATAGGAATTATTTTAGGGAAGTTCTGTGTTACACAGGAGATCAGACTAAATGAAAATAATAGTTCATTCTGGCATTGGAATCTATGAATCAAATAAACAAATGGGGAAAAGTAAATTAGTTTTTAAATATTATTTCAGTTAACATAAATTAAGGTTTTATTAGTAACAGACAAAAATATCTGCCTTAAAAGTATAGGGAGCCAGATGTTTAGCTGGTATAAATCACCACAGTACCACTGAAGTCAATGGAGTTACCCCAATTTACACCAGGTAAGGATCTGGTTCATAATCATTAATTTGAAAATGTGCTTGCAAAGTTTGACACACTTGATAATACAATCTGAT